AATAGTTATATTCTTTTTGTCCTTTTTATATTATTGTTGTAAACACACGGCCCTTTGAAAACCAGCGCTGTAAATATTATCTGCTGAACAGGCTACCGTGTTTAAATAATTTTATTAAAGATTAAAGATTAAAGATTAAAGCTGTTATATCCATACAGGTGCCAACAAGTTCTCACGTCACAGTAAATTTTAAACTAAAACGTCAAACTTTGCAATGCATACAATGGCGTGTATAAGAAAAACTACACCTTTCTGCGTTTTATTTCTTGCTCTTTACGCCGTGTTTTCCCAAGTAGAAGCGAACGAGTGCTCTTCTGACTCTGATTGTACGGGCTTACAGTATTGCTGTGACAGAAAGTATCCTGAAGACAATATATGTCGGTACAGTTGCATTGGTCAGTCTTGTATCTTCAATAACGACTGTGCCCCGGGTGAATCTTGCTGTGATTCTGATAAGAAATGTGCCACAACTTGTGTTGGAGCTCGAGAATCGTGCGACTACAGTGGTGACTGTGCAACTGGTGAATCTTGCTGTGGTTCTGATAAGAAATGTGCCACAACTTGTGTTGGAGAATCGTGTAGCTACAATGGCGACTGTGCGCCGGGTGAATCTTGCTGTGGTTCTGATAAGAAATGTGCCACAACTTGTGTTGGAGCTCGAGAATCGTGCGACTACAGTGGTGACTGTGCAACTGGTGAATCTTGCTGTGGTTCTGATAAGAAATGTGCCACAACTTGTGTTGGAGAATCGTGTAGCTACAATGACGACTGTGCGCCGGGTGAATCTTGCTGTGGTTCTGATAAGAAATGTGCCACAACTTGTGTTGGAGCTCGAGAATCGTGCGACTACAGTGGTGACTGTGCGACTGGTGAATCTTGCTGTGGTTCTGATAAGAAATGTGCGACAACTTGTGTTGGAAAATCGTGTAGCTACGATGGCAACTGTGCTACTGGAGAATATTGTAACTCTGATGGCAAATGTAATACGGGAGATTGCGATGTGATTAAAGGACTAGCTGGTTGGATTGTTGCAGTGATTGTTATCAGTGTTATTGTTGTTATCGTTATACCTATTGCAGTCGTCGTGTTTTGCTGTTTTTGTGCGGCCGGTGCGGCAGCAGCCTCGAGACGTCCTGCTCATGATGGCGTTGTAGTAACACTACAACCTACAACCACAGGAACTACCGTCGTTGCAACCCAGCAACAACAACAACAACAACAACAACAACAACAACCTGAATTCGCTGCACAACAAGGACAACCAATGTATTTTCAAAATCCTCAACCGTATCCAAACCAACCACCACCGTATCAACCTCAAGAGACAGTGTATCCACCAGGGGCAAGTGGTCCACCAATGGCAATGACACACACCCTGGAGTAAATCAATAAGAACTGAAACTGGTTTAGCGAGCACAGGGGACAGGCACTGGCTTCCATGAAATAGGAGTACCTAAACATTAATAGATATACGGACGTAGACATGGTCAGACCCCTCATAGAACATCTTAGAAACTAAAGTAAGGCGATAAGAACTACGACCACAGATAGATGCACTCACTTCAATGTCTGTGAAATAGGTTTAACATAGACATGGTCAGGCATTAGACATTGTTTACTCAACACTTTCGATTGTAGTAGATGTGCAGTGTGCAATTGATTTCATATTTCATTAAATATTTTTAGATCAACTATAACGAGGGTTATCGCGTCTTTTCTCGGATTGCAAATTTGCGCATCAGTGGCAAGCGCTGAAATACATGAAATATCCCCTTTCAGGGATGGCGCTATACCTGTTTGAATTGGGGGGCGGGGGGAGGAGGGTGTGTGTGTGAGAGAATTTTGCCGAGTCATTAAGTGATATTATACCGACTCATTTCAAACGTAATTAATATTTCTTTTCCCAAAATATCTTATCCGTACCGTTCTACCTTTAATGATCCCTTTTTACTCGCTGGGGCACTCTGTGCCCTGGCGAGTATAGGTTTCGGCACGCGTGGTGGATGTCAGATTTCCGATCGTCGTTGATAGCCAGAGGAGGTTGGACAGCCAATTAGGCGAACATCTCGACCAATCAGATTGCGCCATTTTCTTCATGCTCGCACGAAGCTTTTAGCATCGAAAATTTACATAGGGCTCATAAATATCGATTTTTTTCATATTGTTATGCAATTTTTTTGGAAAATTTCACGCGATACTACTTTTACAACAGGCAATCTACCCATTGGAACGGTATCTTAAAAGGTAAGCGTCATCATCCCCCTCCCGGGATTTCTAATGGTCCGCCAGCTTAGTACGATGATTTGAAACGAAGGGGCGTGTGAAAATACACTAAAATTAAAATTAATACTTGATGTCGAAGTATTCAAGGAAATTATAAATATTTTGCCACACACGTCGGAGATTATTTTAATATTGGTCTGTCGGGAATTTATCACTATTTAATTCTCGGAGAATTAAAGGGGGGCCTATTATAGTCTGGCAGTTAAGCGGTTTCAGCCTATTTTGTGAGTCGGATTACGGAAAAGTATCGATTTTTGTAGCGGTTTACGGTGAGGATACTATCTAGCGGTGACGGAATTTCGCGACTTTATCGCACGGTTTTTAGGCAAGTTTAATCACAGATTACGGTAAGAAATATAATTCAGTGCCCTTTTATAAGGGCTCATAAGCTATCCGTCCTTCATGGCATTTTTGAATGCTTGAATTATGCTTCGTATAGAAAATGGTGGTTTTTATTGCTTTGTGTGGAAAACAAGGCGGTCACGGTTATACAACAAAATGACGGGCGGTTGACGGAACAAGAGAAAAAAATTGCGCGGTTTGCGGAAAGACTTCCCCCCTATAATAGGCCCCCATTAAATAATGAATAAATTTTCAACGTTCCGTGTCAGAATGTCTATAAGTATGTTCTACTATGCTCAATATTTAATTTTTGATGCCAATCCTATGCATATTTAATTTGATGTTTATGAATTTTTTACTTTCATGTTTTCTTCGTTTTACGAAGGACAAAAAAGTCTTATACAATTCTACAATTTTTTTCTATTTTATATGTATTTGTGAGTATTTTGTATGTTCTTATGTAACTTATTATAAATTTATATTTAGAAACCACCTGCCCTAGTCACTTCTAATTAAATTGCCTGTGAAATGACGAAAACAATTCGAGTAAATGGTGCGTTCAAAGTGGCCCTTTCATCAAATATTAATTGTATTAAATTTTTAACATTAATTGTTAATAACGTTTACAGTGGTGTAACGAGTCACTAGACAGGTCGAGTCACGAGTCGAGTTTTCACTGGTCGAGTCACTCAAAAATCGAGTCACACTATTCATTTATTGCTCATTTTGCAATAAGTTTGTGATTAACCCTGTACATCATGCTCTTCTATATTGTATAAACACTGCAACTTAGAGAGAATATTAGTGTACGTGGATGACAGACAAGGCATTTTTTAATACCATGGACTGGTGGTACTGGGCCCCTTCCTCTGCCCCACCACTGAAGAAAAAAATGGCCTATTGCCCCATAGCCAGGGCCCCAAGACCTGTATAATTGAGTAAATGAGTTTAACATTTAAAAGAAGTTTAAAAAACAAAATTTGTTGGTGATTATACACATATGTTATTTACCGGCAGCGAGGTCCGGATGAGATTCATCCGGACTGACGCTGCCAGTAAATAACGTGTTTATTTTTTAACAGGTGTGAAATTAAAGTCATTAAAATTCCAGTGTTGCACGCGAACTAATTTGAGATCAGTGCGGTCGTGTTTAATTAAAGCGAGGCTGACAAATATTGAAAAGTTGAAAGATAAACTATAAACACGAATACAAAAACTCGAGACTTTGACTACAATATTTATATCAGTGAAAAATGTGTGCCACAAATCAGTAGAGAATATATTCGTGACTTGTTTTCAGTGCAGTTAAACCTACTTTTCAGTAACTTTCTGACTTCAAATAACAAATACTTTCTGACTTTCGGTTGTCAATTATTATGTAATCATGCTTAGTATGTCCCAAGTCTTTAGTATGAATTTATTTTCGTGTTCTGACTATCGTTAGGCTACGTTTTTCAAATTTTTAGGGAAGATTTTCTAATTTAAAAATTGTTTCACTCCTTGGTTTTGGCACGAAAACCAGAGTGGGCAGTTGCATTTCACAGTGGGCAGTTGCATTTCAGAGCGGGCCGGATGCAAGAAACCGGCCCGCTCTGAAAGGCTCCTTAGATTGCTTCATTTTCACTGATAAAAAATTAAACTTATGTTGTGTTTGAATGTTTAGCATGCAATTTATTAAAACTTTGTTTTGAAAAGCTGAGAATTTTTTTAATGTGTTCTAAGAATGCATGAAATGCTATTTCAGAGACCCAAAATTTAGAAGTTTTCTGGGGGGCATGCCCCCAGACCCCCTAGATAACTCAGGCCTGCGGTAGTCGGCTCACTGACACCTTTGACGATTGCATACTATCCTTGGGGGAGGGCAAGGAGAGAATGGGCCCTTTGGCAGGTTTGCCCCACCACTGAAGAATCCTTAAAAAATGCACTGTCGACAGATAATTTATCTGCAGATATAATAGGTTTTTTCAATTTTCTGGATGATGACTATTTCTTCAGTTAATTACTGGTGGTATGCCCGCGAACATTGCCACATTAATAATGCACAGTTTAAATATTGACTCTTGGCTTCGATGTGCTGAGTATTATTTCGAGTTTTGCATGCAAAATTCACCTGACCACATAATGTAAGACGACGAATTCGAATCAGAAACGAAGTAGCAAGTATACGTTAAGGCAGATCGACAGCTGCTGTATCCATCATTAATCCATGCAGTGATGCAGGTACCAAAAAGTTCATTTCAAATTTCATATATATCATACTAAGTCTTTTACCTTGATATTGTGAACATTTGAGTAGCTGGAATTAATGAAGTAAGAAAAAGTAACAGTAACAGCAAATTTATAGTACAACAGGGGAGTAGGAAGCTCCGTGACATTGCGGGCGCCGGTGGCCGATGTATTGTGTGCTCTAATCCAGTGCCATCCTGCACACAAGATCTGCAGCAATTAAGATTTCCTTAAACATGAACTCCAACAAATTCAGACATTTATGTCGGGAATGGATTCTCCCGTAAAATTGCTAAGAAACTCATTACTTTGTTCTTGCCTTCAACAACATCGTCCTCACCTGATCAAACTATATATTAATAATATTATGACTGATATCTCTAGTGATAGCCTAATAACGCACCTTCCAACACAATTAAAATCTGGATAAAACTCCCATTCCTTGGCAAATATGGAACTAAACTAACGTGGTCATTAATACGCAAAGTAATTCCTCCAGTACTAAAATCCCCATGTATGTATAGGGGACAGACACAGGGGACAGGCACTCGCTTCCATGAAATAGGATTACCTAAACTTTAATACTAGATAAACGGACATAGTCATAGACATGGTCGGACTAGAGACTACTCATTGAACATCTTAGAAATCAAAGTAAAGCAATAGACGTAGACCATGTCTTCTATCTGTGCTCGCAGTTCTGGCATTGGACATCGTTTACTCGTCGATTGTAGATGTGCAGTTTAAATAATTTGTATTTCATTAAATATTTTTGGATCAACTATAACGACGGTTATCGCGTCTTTTCTCGGATTGCAAATTTGCGCATCAATGCCAAGCGCCGAAATACACGCACTTTGGTGTGTGTGTGCGGCGGGGTGTAGCTAAGTGAAATTTTACCGACTCATTTCAAAGGCTATTAATTAATATTTCTTTTCCCAAAAACATCTTTTTCATACTATTTGAAGTTAACGTACCGTTCTACCTTTAATGTTCCCTTTTTTCCTTCATATTTTCGTAAATTTCTCTAAATTTTAGGTATAATTATTAATTTTTAATCTGTTTCACTCCATTCTTTTCCCTATCAAATTCATGTTTTTCCGACTACGAAAACAATTCGTCAACTGGGATTCACTGTTTTGCCGACTACCTGACGGCTGGGTGCGGGTTTAATCACCCCCCTCTATAGCGCCGTCCCTGTCCCCTTTTATAGTTTCACTGTTCACGTAGTCATGTGTAATCAAACATTTTACCTTCCAAATGGGTAGTAGTATTAATGCAAATAGTCGGATCGGTTTTTGCTTCGTTCACGAAACGCTAAGTATTTCCTGTGTTTAAAACCTGACATGACTGATGGAGTAATACTTATACTATTTTAGGCTATGTTTACATTGTATCGGATCACTTTGCGTCCAACGCAAAAACCATACCGGATAGGGCTTCTGTTTACATATGAAATGTTGTTATCGTCTCAATTTCTGCAACGGACCGGTGGTGCGGCGGTTCGCTCTTCGAAGTGGTGCGCGATGTATCGGATCGCTTTTTGCAACGTTCTCATTGTACTGTAATGTAAACACAAATCGGGGCAATTTTCGGTTCAATACGTGACTCAAGATGGCAATTGGGAAACAAAGACTTGCTATTCTAATCTTATTTGCGGGTATAGCTTGCTCACTTATAATATTTTTGTAGTTAGATGGGCGAGGGCGGAAGCTGTTTACACTTGGACCGTGCTTGCCCTTGAAGTTTGGCAGCTTATATATTCTAAATATTAGAACGGGACTGTAGTAAAATTAAAATTAATACTTTTTCTCGAAGTATTAATCACCTAGGGAAACAAGGTGTTTGTATAATCGCAAAATATAAGAGTGAGTTTATCACTATTTCTACTATTCTCAAAAGTTAATGTTTCATGCCAATAACGTTCATGCATATTTAATTTGATGTTTATGAATTAGACTTTATTTAAAGAAGGCTAAAGTGTAGTATTTACAAAATACAACAGTTTACTTTATAAGCTATAGGCAAATAAGCAACTGGTTTCTGTCGTTATTTCTCAACCATTGGTAGTCGTTTACAGCAGAATGTTGTTATCACTCACCAACAAGACCAACCCCGTTCCCAGGCTCTTCCCTCTTTTTGAGGAAGAGCCTGGGAACGAGGTTGCAACAAGACTTGGATATGGGCCACAAATGACAAACCACTGCTAACCACTGCTTAGGTTTAACTCAACGAACAAAACATTTAAATTTTCGGAAATCTACTAGCATCTCTCTTAAAAGATGCATCTGAAGAGTTAGCAGTGCCCTTCTGTATGCTTATAAACCTTAGTTTCCGAAATGGAATTTTTCCAACTGTAGAAAAGTGTGGTAAAGTACTATTGATCCCAATCTATAAATCTGAAGATCGGACATCTTTTGATAATTATCGACCAATATCGCTTTTAAATTCTGTCGCCAAAGTCATTGAAAAGATTGCCTATGAGCAAATTACAGATTATCTTGAAGAAAATGAATTATTATGCCCACAACAATTTGGCTTTAGACGTGGAAAATGTACCCAACATGCCGTTACATATCTTAATGAACACATTCGACAAAACATGGATTTACTGGAGCGGTATACTTGGATCTAAGGAATTTAAAGCGTTTGATATACACGCATGTCTTCTAAATAAGCTATCATGCACATTATGGAATAAAAACAATGAATATCTTTGAATTCAAGATTACCTGTTCAATAGATCGCAGTATGTATACTATAATCAAGTAGAATCAGACTAAGAACATATATCATATGGTGTCCCCCAAGGGTCAATTCTTGGCCCTCTTCTACACTAGCTTAAGAAATGCAACATCTTGATGTATGCTAACAATACTGTTATATATTATTCAGCGAACAGCACTGATGAGATTGAAGAATCTATTAACAATGATTTAGAACTTGTTTCCCAATGGCTAGTCTCAAACAATCTTATAGTCAGCCTGAAAAGGGGGAAAACTGAATTTGTATTATATGGATCACCGCGAAAATTATCTTTCCAATCTGGATGTAATATAATGATGAATGCTACATGCACCTATAAATCGAGCTGAGGAATATGAATATCTGGGTGTTACTTTGGATAGTCATTTAACCTTGTCTAGCCAAGTGTCCAAAGTTTATAAGAGAGTGTCTTCTCGACTGGGCCAACTTTTGCGCATACTTTCTAACATAAATCCATACGTTGCTGAAAGAATTTACCGAGTAATAATCAATCCAATTATAACATACTGCTATCCTGTGTATGAGACTACAAGATAGAGCTGCGAATATAATTGCTCCAAAACACTGTTCACAAGATAATGTTGTCACCTGCCGTAACAGGCGTGTGCTGATAGATGTTTTTAAATCATTGCACTAGCTGCACTCACTTGACTCAAATTTTCCACCCGTACATTTCGAGGGTTTCAACCACGGGATAAGCACTCGCAACAATAATTCACGCATAATCATACCAAAAGTCAAGACTGAAGCTGGAAGAAAGTCATTTCAGTGCAAGGAGCACTCCTTGAACAAGGAAATACGAAAAATGAGATTTCCTATATGAATTTTAACGCAAAGTTAAAATTGTTGCATTTTAATTTGCCTTATTTTAATCACCATAGACACTTAATAAAGACATTTAATTAAGGCAGCTATAATAAAGACATTTTATAGACACTTATTAAAGACATTTTATAGACCCTTAATAAAGACATTTTATAGTTTTTAAGTATCGATAATAGTATAGTATCAACGAGTATTATATTGTATTTTATAGTTTAGTTAAGGCCATGTTACACGGTGCAATTTTTCTTGCAACTTGCAATGCAGTTCTACTCTTGAGAGATGTAAAATTGCCAAATACGAGTCTTCATTACACTCCGCTGATGTTTTCTCAACATATCGAAAATTCTTCACTGATTTCACTAATTAATATCTCTCAAGAGTAGAATTGCATTGCAAGTTGCAAGAAAAATTGCACCGTGTAAAGGCCCTGTCACACTATTGCGTATCGTACTAGCGTATGCCAGCATATGAAAAATATCACTCATACGCCGGTATACGCTGACATACGCTATGGGTACGTTAGGCATATAGGTTGTATACGTTTCAAGCACGGTCGAGTACGGTGGCATACGCTGCCATACGGCGAGGCAGAAAATGTTTTTTAAGCATGTTCAAAAATTTTGTGCGTATTGGACGTATGCTTTATACGATAAGCATACTCTAGGCACACGCTAAATACGCTAGATCTGAGGTACGCCAGGTGTACGGTACTCATACGCTGGCATTTCAAAGGATTTTTGTGCGTATGAAAAGTATTTCGTTAATTTTCATACGCTCTCATACGTTTCTCTCATACGCAGTAGTGTGACAAGGCCTTAACATGGCCTTTACAGGTCCTTCACTGATAGCAGGCGATATTAGCCTGACGAAGTAAACCTGTATAAACATATTAATTATATAATAATAATAATTCAGTCTAGGACCTGTATATGAGTTTGTATGCGTTTCATTTAGCACAGGTAATCTCAACTGTTTTAGGGTAAAATGACCATGGCGGTCAACATGGCATATGTGCCAAAAGCTGAATCCGGGACGAAAGTCCTGAAAATGACCCCGCCCTGAAACGGCAGTGTCGACATAGCTCTAACTTCAGAAAACAAA